AAGAAGAAGAAGAAGAAGAAGAAGAAGAAGAAGAAGAAGAAGAAGAAGAAGAAGAAGAAGAAGAAGAAGAAGAAGAAGAAGAAAAAGAAGAGAGGGGAGGGGGGGAGAAGTAATTGGTAGATGAAGCTATCAAGGAAGGTTGAGATGATGTCATGAAGAAGAGTCTATGCCATTGTTCAGTTTAGACTTACTCCAATAGCAATGTGGAGTGATTAAGGTTTTGAAGCAGGAGAATAAAATGATCAGATTTAGGATGATAGTTGTGAGGATGAAATGCAAACAAGCTTAGTTCTCCTGGTGTCCTTTCTTGGATGTAATTAACAACTAAACCATGGAAATTATATTTATTGCTTTACCCTAAGAACATACACAGATCATTAAGTTCCCTGAAGTTCTTGACTTTCACGGAACATCTGGTCTACAGTGGGACACCGCCTCTTTTTTCCATCTTCATCCTGTCATTCCTGAAGTTCAAGGAAGGGACAGTGAGTCATCAGCTGACCCACTATGGCTTTTTTTTTTGCTCCTTTATCTTTTTCCTCATGTCAGTTTCTCAACCTCAAACTCAGGCTCTGTTGAGACATCTTGGGTGGGGCCTAATCTTAAAGCCATAATATTTTAAATAATTCCTGGCTCTGAAAACTAGGTCTTTAAATATTACTAATCTAGGGAGAGTACCCTACAAAGAATTGCTCTTTTGACCTCTGAGTCACACATGGCTGATGCAGAATAATCTATACTGTTTTTCTTTCGTGAGGAGGAAGTGACCATAATCTATAAATCATGATGTATGAAAGAACTAACTAATTAGAACATAAGTGGGGAGAGTGGGGAGTGGGGAAAGTGGGAGAGAATATGGCTCAAATAGCCCTGCTTCAATGATAAATTATTTGATGAAGGCTTTCCCTATTTTAACATTCATGCTTATAAAAGGAAATAGTTTCCTTTTCTGCTTTGTGTTTTTTTTTTTTTTTTTTTACTTTCAAAGCAGCCTAAACCATAGTTTCTTTCTTGCCTGGTATTGAGCGTATGCCAAATCTACCCTAAACTGCACAGATGGAAAAAATTAGTCTATGTCTGTGGTACCTCTGGGGTTGAATATTTTTAGTACTTACATCTTAGCTAAAGATTCTTTCTTCCAAGATTCTCATAGAATCATTTTATTGTCATCCAATGGGTAAACTCACTGAGATAAAAATTAATAATATCTTGTGTTTATATATCCCTTTATAATTTATTGCAAGCTTTCACATACACCTTAATGTAATCCTCAGAATAACTTTGGGAATTATTCCCATTTTACAAATTAAGAAAGAAAATCTTAGTCTCAACACCCAGAGAGCTAAAAGAATTTAAACTTGAGGGGCGCCTGGGTGGCTCAGCCAGTTAAGCCTCTGCCTTTTAGATCAGGTCATGATCCCAGGGTCCTGGGATCGAGCCCCACATGGGGCTCCCTGCTCAGTGGGGTGTCTGCTTCTCCCTCTCCTTCTGCCCCTCCCCCTACTTGTGCCCTCCCCACCTCAAATAAATAAAAAATCTTTTAAAAATTTTTTTAAATAAAAATAAAATTTAAAAAATTTAAACTTGAATGTGGGTCTTTTAATCTAAGTTTGGGATTCTTTCCTCCTTCCCTAGCTTATTCTAAACCCAACCTCCACTTTTCCCCTCACTAGCTATAAAACTTAGGACAAAATCTTTTTGACTTTCAGCCTCAAAGCCTAGCTATTGTCATTAATTAATCCATCCACCTAATATTTATTGAGTGCCTACTGTGGGAAAAACAGAAGCTGAGGACACAAAAGTAAGTAAGACAAAGCTTCTGCTCTCCTGCGATGCTAACATTCCTTTGAGGAGGATGAAGATAGTGAGGTAACATTTATTGAGGGTTTACCACATGCCAGGAACTGTCCTAAGGGCTTGACATGTAACAACCCTAAGAAGTAAATCCTGGGCGCCTGGGTGGCTCAGTTGGTTAAGCGACTGCCTTCGGCTCAGGTCACGATCCTGGAGTCCCAGGATCGAGTCCC